ATGATTAAAATTTATAGAAACAAATACTATTTTTAAATTTAGTTAATTTTTGTTATGGTTTAATGTTTTTAATTTTTTTTTTTTACATATAAACTTAACTATTTCTCATTAAACTTTGTCATTTTTTGTTATTAAAATAATTTTCTTCATGATTAATTTTTAAAAATATGTTTATTCAAATGCTATATTATATATTTGGATATTATAGTTATACAAAAAATATTTCTATTACTATTAAATCCGGTTTGACCGATTCGGTCCGGTCGGACCACAGACCCATAATCTAAAAGTTTCTCGGTTCGGTTGTCGGTCCGGTTTTAAAAGCATTGTACTTAATTAATTAAGAGCATATAAAAGCAATTCTTTAGTTTATTGTCCGTTACTTCAAACTTTGCTACAAAACAAAAGTAGATCTATAGTTTAATGTATATGACGTTGTTTAAGTGATATTTTAAAGAGCAGACGCACAAAACTCTAGAACTAATAAAAGGATTCAGTTGGAATTACGGCAAAACCCCATCTCATAAATCCCTAATCTTTATGTTTCCAAAACCAAAAAACAAAAGAGAGGTAATTTAGATTACCTCAAATCGCTACCACAGATTAGCATGATCTCTGAGGTAACAGTGCTAACACACTTAGCACTCAATCCCGACACCCACAGATTTCTTCACTTCAGGGAAGAATCTGGGACAGACAGAGGCAGTAACAAAGACTCCTCCTCTGGCTAATTCACGAGACTTTCTCTCGTGGAAACAGGAGAAGATTCATCTCCCTCGGGGTACCAATATCTTGCTCGAACCCTGGTGGGACTCCCTTCGCATGCTGAGTCTCTACCATTTTTCCTGGGCTCGAATTGGTGACCATTGGTTTGTTTTAAATGTACTTAAAATAATTAAGAAGCAACTCGGTTGACCAATCTAAACCACCGGTTAGGTAGATAATCTATTCATTGGTTTTGTTTATTAAGTTTCGAATCGAGAGGTGTACATATGGAGACATGTAAGCTCACTTGGCTGGCTTTCTATTGTATTCGTTTTAGTCTATATGTTTATAACTTTTTATTTTCCTTCTTGGATGCATTTTCAAGATAGTAAAGAAAGTCATAGATTCACAAAAGAATTACAGTGCTTAACAAGAATCCAAACCCAAAAGCTAAAATCTACACTGTAACACCCATAAAAGCTCTTGTGTCGTCTTCTCAGCGGAGAAATCTTCTAGCTCTAGCCCATGGTGGCAACCTCGGAACTTGCACTTCATCGCTGTAATTCTTGTTACTCTGGTATCTCTTTCTCTGCTCTTTCATGATTGCAAACCGAGAGTCCAGTGTCTTTCTCCTCCCTCCTCCGTTTTCTACTTTCTCATGTACAACCTCTTGCCTCTGCGGATAAATATCGATTGTTAAACATTCAGCACAAAACTCTTGGATATATGACTTATTCATCATCATGTTCACTACTAACACAGCAGATTGAACAGATCAAATCACTAACAAAACTTAAACCGATCCTACCCACCAAATTTTTAGTTGAATGCTGGAAAATAATCCTAAAACCTTTACTCTCTACCATCAGGCAAAGGGATTTAGCAGTCCGAGGAAGAGACACTAAGAAGGTGGCTATGAATAATTCACCTTTGTGATAAATCTAGCTTGTACCGATCTTTTCTGAACTGGTGGAGCAATAAGCCTGCACACAAGAAAACAAACAGTTGCTGAACCGATAACAGGTACTGAGACACCCATAAAGAACATCATAAACTTAGTAACAGCAAGTAACTACCATAAGATAGATGAAATGATCATGATACCGAGTTGTTAACAGTGAAAGTTGACCCTCTTGCTACAATAGACGGATCTAACGCGAAATCCAAGTAACAACAAGATGGCAAATATCTATTTTTTATAAGCAATGCAACACTTTACTTCCCAGTCGTAGAGGTGCCCATAACATAAAGCATATGACTGGCTCAACTTCAACTTTACTGTAACTACTATGTACATAGAAAGTGCAGCAGCTGACCTTCGTCCCAACAAAGTAATTTGAACAAGAACTAAGAGAAGAAAGCTCAAGAGATGACCCAAGGAGTAACCAAGTAACAATTAGATGTATACTGATGAAGATCTGAATCTTCTTAATTTTCCCAGCAACTGGCATCTACCAATTTAATGTCACAACTTCACAGAGCTAAGCTATAACCTTCAAGATGCAGCAAGAAGATGAAACTCAACACCTAAGAAGCTGATATGAATACAAATGAGTTTCACGAATCCACTGAGTTCATATCAAAGGCCAAATACGGTACCAAACTGCTCAACTTGTTAATCTGACAATAAAACATCAAACTTTAAGCAACATCAAACTTTATGCTCAACCTAGCCACATCCTAACCACTGAGGTTATATGAAATGCCAAACCCAGTCTTGAAAAAAAAAACACCCTAGCCACTCATCAGCAAAGTATATGCTCTCATTTTTTAGGTTCTTGACGCTTTTGAATTAACTCAAGTCTCCAACCCAAAAATGTTTACCATAAACTCAACTACAATCACGCTCATGCAGTCCATCAACCAGGAAGGGAGATTTATCAGGTCATGAAAACCAAACTAAGTACTTTCCATATAAACACCTTCTGACAAGGAGCTTAGACTAGAAGCTTCTTGAATCAGAAGCAATCGAAGATATTAAAACAACGCCAGATTAATGAGCAGAGATCAGAGAATTATCCAGCATTCTAGACCTTGACTGATTGGCACTAGTCATCCTTCCAGCATTGAAAGCTCTACCATGAACACTGTGTAGAGGAGCAGTAGCGGCTTTACGAGCAAAGTTTGTTGTGACAGGATACTGATGTCCTTGGAAATTAGACCTTCTCTTAGCAATGGCACCCTGAAAATTG